CTGGTGAAGGGTCTAGGGAACGAGTCTGATAGGGAGGAGCTGAAGGACCTGGGGTTGTTTAGCCTGGAGAAAAGGATGCTCAAGGGAGGCCTTATTGCTCTCTACGACTGCCTGAAAGGAGGTTGTAGCCAGGTGGGAGTCGATCTCTTCTTCAAGGTAATAAGTGACAGGACAAGAGGAAACAGCCTCGAGTTCACAGAGTATCACACAATCACAGAATATTTTGGAAGGGACCCACAAGGATCATCAAGTCCAGCTCTTAGCCCCCAAGAGTCACACTCTGTGCTTGAGAGTGTTGTTCAAACACTTCCTGAACTCTCTCAGTCTTGGTACTGTGACCACTTCCCTGGGGAGCCTGTTCCAGTGCCTAGCCACCCTCTGGGTGAAGGATCTTTTTCTAATATCCAACCTAGACCTCCCCTGACACAACTTCATGCTATTCCCTCGGGTCCTGTCACTAGTCACCACAGAGAAGAGATGGTGCCAGAGGAGGTTTAGATTGGATATTAGGAAGCATCTCTTCACTGAAAGGGTTAAAGAATTGTCAGGCACTGGAACAGGCTGCCCATGGAAGTGGTGCAATCCCTGTCCCTGGAAGCATTCAAAAGACATGTAGATGTAGCACTTGGAGATGTGGTTTGGTGGTGGACTTGGCAGTGCTGGGTTAATGTTTGAATTCAATCATCTTAGAGGTCTTTTCCAACCTTAATGAGCTTATGATTCAAAGTGTGGTTCTTCCCTTTTTGAGGCACACTTCCACAATTGTTCTTCTCTCTGTCCATATCTAGAAAAGCCTGATGAAAAGAAATCCTTAATCATGGAGCTCTTCTTATATACATGTGTCCTTATTTCCCACTTGGGCACTGATGCCCGGACACAGTGAGCCCAGCTGTGGACGTGCCATGGGAGCATGTGGCTGTCACATAACCACAGCCTGTGTGAGTTCTGACTCAGCACTGAGACCGCTCCCATGTTATGGGGAGTTCCTTCTGCTGGCCAAGGCAGGGAAGGGTGCTTCATGGGCCTGAACAAGAACAGCCCCTTGTAAACCTCTGGGTGAGAGTTCCACCAGCAAGGCAAAATGTTGTGCTGCCTGCTCAACGCTCCCTGTCACCTCCAAGCCTGAGGCCAGCCACCTCTGCAGCACAGTTTGTCAACTGGGGGCCTGCACTCCCCACAGATGGGCCTTTGCCCGCGTGCACATATTGTGTGCCTGCATTCTGTGCCGGATCCAGGGGATGCTGCTACCAGAGCAGTAGAAGGAAAACCTGGAGTTTCCAAACACAGGCAGAAGTGATGGTGTATTGTAACACATGATCTTTTAGCAAACTAAGTGATGGATCTGTCTTTCACCTGCCAGCTGGTGATGGCATCATCACTGGGTGGTTCCATATCACAAACTTGAATTAGCGTCTCAGAATGAAAAGCAGGTTGGTGTTGGTATACATTGGTTTCCATCTCCTCTCCTTAAGGAACGTAGTCCATACCAACAGTGAAATCATATTGTTCTACATACTTGGAGGAGGTAATTCTGTTTGTCTTGGGTGTAGAATAAAGCATTATTCTCTCTTCTATGTGCTGTTCTCCAGGTAGCGAGGGAAATTACCCTCTCAAGCCTAAAGGAACTTGAAGGTTTGCTTAAATGATTTGAGAACAGTTGATAGAAGGTGACAGTTGAAACACCAAGGATTAAATTTTATAACTCAGAACTATTATTGGGCCATATCCTAGAGGTTTAACTCAAGCTCTTGCTTTTAAAAGCGACACCAGTGTTTGGAAGTTAAACTGAAGTGTATTGACATCAAACACCTTAGGTATTTGATTTGCTTTTCAGAAACATTAAACTCCTTGCAGGTTAGGGCCTCTGGAGACTTAAAAAAAGGCAAAAAATCTGCTTTGGAGCTTTGGACCACTTGTTACGAACCCTGGCCTATTGGAATTGTATTTGGTTTTTACCTGATTTTTTTTTCCAAATGGTTAACTCAAGGACAAACAGGTCTTTGCTGTAAGAAGGAGCTTTAGTTCAAGAGCACATCTTGACATTGGTGTTATTCATATGAATCCACCCAGCCAATAACCTCTTCCTCTGAGGTAAAAGGTTATTACAGATAATCAGTAAGATTAAATACTAACAAGAAATATTATGAACCCGTACATGAATGTATTATTTTTTCCAGTATTTACTGAATAACTTGCCTGGGAAGCAGGTCTTAGTTTGGCTCTCATGGTTGATTCTAAGCCTTCTCTTACCCAGACCCCCGAGACTCTGGTTAATTTTGTGGCACAAAATATTTAATTATGTGCTCTGCCAAGTGAATACAAGGTCTCAAATTGAATTTCAGTGTCCCTGGGCAACTATTTTAGACACTTTGGTAGAATGTAAATGTGTATTTTCTGCATGCCAGATCCTGGCTACTTATCCATCAAAGTAAATCCTCAGTAGTTCCACTGAAGGCTTGGAACAATCCTAAATTATGTTATTGAGGTCAGATTGTGACCCTGAAGTTCTGGCAGGCACCCAAACCAAGAAATTTGTGTGGGAAACGAGATGGAATAAAGTAGCACTTGCCTATGCTTTTTGTGGGAGTAAACTGTTACAAAGGTGTGAGTTAAGATGAAAGCTCCTAATGGTGGTGGATATTGCCGTCCAGCTGTTTCTGCTGGAAACATCTGTGTGTGTGTGTGTATGGGATGAGTCCCTATTTTCTGTCTCAACTAACAACCAGTTTTGCTTTTACCTCCCCTTACTATTCCCATCCCCCTCACTCACTCCGAAGTAAAACCACTTAATCTTATAAAACAAAAGTCCAGGGGTAGGTTCTAGTTTAGGTGGGTTTTTTCCTCTGGTGAATTTGTTCCTTCGTTTTCTCTCTGCCAGTTGCAAGTGGCAGGTCTAAATAGTATTAGTTAATTGTGGTTGTCATACTGCAGAGTGCCCCGTTGAAAAAAATAACTGCTGTTTTTTCGCCCAAGGGTTTAAGCAGCGGTCCCTCCGTCTGAATGGGAGGACATCCTTTCCCTCCCCATTGAGACTGCACCGTGGAGCAGCATGAAAGGATTGCTGTACAGCTGCGCTGGGTGAGTGGGCGGGCACCTCATTCAGTAATAACATCTAATTTATACAGCCGTGAAAATCTACGGCTATAAATAAACAGTTCTGACTGACTTTTGCATACTTACTCAAAATAAAATGATAGAGGGTAATGGGCTGGAAAGAGAAATCTGGTGTAAATGTCGTAAAGGGCAGATCCTCCCTCAGAACACTTAGGTAAAGCCTTTTGGAAATCACAGGGAAAACGTTGATTTGTGAGCAATGACACATGCTTTCCTCCTTTCAGGGCTTCAAGGGCATCAGAGGAAGGAGCAAAACAAGCCCAAGATCCCAGCAGTTGTGTTCTGAGGACAGGCATTCCTGATTGCTTTCCCAAAGTGCATGACTGGAATCCACTTTCTCTCCATACAGGATGTAGCAGAGAACAGTGCCTCTTCTGAGCCCTTTCGAAGAAAGAAACCACATCTCCCGTGATTCTCCTCAAAGCCCTAGTTTCAAATCCTCCTTAAATGCCCTGTAGTCCAGCAGCACAGTCACCACATCAGATCCCAAAGGTATTCTGGTGTGAGCAAGAGCTTAGGGTGAAATCTGCCATTCAGCTCCTCTGGTTGGAAGTGGAAAGACCTATCTCTCTGTTCTGGGGACCAGACTTTGTTTTGAGTTTCTGACATTTAAACTGTTTGTACTGGACTATAAGTACAAAATAAAAGAATTAAAAAGAGAGAGAAAGAGATAAAAATGCACAACAAACCTACACTTTCTCTTCTTCCCTAATTCCCTTCATGTTTTTTCTTCTCTCTCTCTTTCCTCTCACCAGCATCTTCCAGCTGAATTCTTTCGTTTCTCCTTTAGCTTCAACAGAAAAGGAGGGAGGGGTGTGTTTGTGTGCGGGGATGTGTAACAGTTTACATTCCCCTTGCAAACTCAGCTAGAGCGAGTTATCTAGATAAGCTGGGAAATACTGAATGCATGCACGTCTTTCACTGAGTTAACTTAGTTTACAGTCTAGGCCTAGTATGTTAACTTCCCAGATTAGAATTTTTATCAGGTGCTTAGCATATGAGAAGAACAATCTTATGTATACACATTATCTTTTATTGCTCACAGGCAGCTTACAATGTGTTTCATTTTTACTAAGCTCCAGCAGCATTCGAAAGGTGAAAATAACACCCCGGTGAACTGCATGCACAGTAGCTCTAAGCGAGGGTTTTGGCAATGAGCATGGAGTTAGACATTTAAGTACTGCAACTAGTTTCAAATCCTCTTTAAATGCAGGAATAATAACAAAGATTTTTCTTTTTCGCATTGACCATTATGGAACACTTATGTACTTTCAGGCTTGCCTGTTTATTGGAGTTTGCAAAGCAGATCTCCAGTGTTTTAGATGTTAACAAGATGTTGAGGCTAATAACAGAAATCAACTATATTGAGAAAGATTAGTAAACATGTGAATGGAGTGTAATTATATGGCAGGCAGCTTTATGTTAAACAGTGCTTTAAATTAACATGCTTTCTGTCAAAGCAATCATACAGTCAGTATAATTAGGTTACTTTTGCTGTGAGATTAACTGAAACCAAGAAAAATGAAGAAAGTGTTGCCCTCAGATTTCCTGTTAAAATGAAGGGGAGATATTAAGCATATTAATATTACAGAAAGTTTCTTATTAGAAGAACTTGGCTTCATGGTGAACTTTCTGAGCAGACATTTCTAATTACAGTCCTTGTTAGCCCAATTTGTTATCTAGCTAGCTTGGAAGTCACAGCACTGTTAAAATTATCTCTCCTCTTAATTTTTTCCAGACTTGATGAAGGGCAATCCAAACAAGAGTTGGCTTGCTTTCACAGGTCTTTCACAGAGTGGTGCCAAGCTCATGAGGGAGTGCATTTACCAGTGACGAGTTTTAACCATGGACACATCCTCACGTACATTGTGCAAGAGATGAGAAATCTGTGTAAACAGATGAACACAATTTTCTTATTCATAGCAGTTTCAGAGTTATCATGTAAGAGGCAAACATTTCATTTTTTCCACCAGTTTTCCATATGTCTGATGTCATAATGGCTTCACCAGAAGCTGCAATGCATTGGAGAAAGGATTTATCACAGCTGCATTTATTTTCCTCTACTTCATGGCTTCAGCATTCATGGAGAGATCGTTTGGCTTCAAGAGAAGGATTCACTTGCTTCTCCATTTGTGGTCCAGTATTACTATTGAATCTCCTGTTTGGACACAGAGAAGAAGATATTATTGGGGGGGCAGGATATAGAGGGTGGGGGAAGGCCCATTAGGAGGAGGATGTGAACCTGGCCCAGCCTCCCAACATCCCTGGGGAACTCTACCCGTCTGGGAGTGGGAGTAAACTACGAGTGCATGTCTTGGAACAGCTGCTAATGCTAAAGTGCTGCAGAAGTCAAATGAGCCTGGGATGTCCCCAGCAAGTAACCTATTACTCAACTACTGAAGAATGATTTGAAATGTACCATGGGCCTCATCCATTGAGAATAATTGTGCTTTGCCAGTGGGAGAAAGTATCTACCACCAAACAAACCTAGCTTGGGGTGAGAGTATGTGAAAAACTTTAAAAATAAAGTTTGTCTGGAAAAACAGCAGATAGATTAATCCTTGCACTTGGATATCTGGAGAATCCTCACATGGCTGGTCAGGACAACACAGGACCTACTGAAATCCCACAGCTTTCTGAAGCACCACTTAGGGCCCAGTTGTGCTACTGTGGGGCACCACATGTGGCAATAATCAAATATATTTGGGTACATTATCTAACACACTGTCTCAGCCTCTCTTCTTCCCTGCTGATGATCATTCACTCACATGTGACTCTCTTTTATATGTTCCTTCCATGTCCATAGATCTCTGAGGCTCTGAAACACTAATTGCTGTATTTTATTTCTCTCCAGCCTGCATAGCGTTTGGCGATTGACCTGATACGGAACAGAATCTTGGCATTTATTCCTTCCGAAATGATCCTGTATTTTGTACAGACCAAACAGATATTTTGAAGACCACAAAGAAAAAAAATAGCCTCTTAGGCCAGGGCCAGCATGTTAACCAGCACCTGTTAATGCCTGGCCTCCACTGATGAAATCATAAGCCCTGGGTTGCCACAGCTTCTGATCTGGTCTGCCTCCAGTGGATCATCAGATAAGGTTATCACCAAGAGCAGGACATGTAAGAGGTAGTGCAGATTTCCTTTAAACAGCCAGTTGTCTCTACCTGAGGGGTAAGCTGCAGCTTGGGGGAATGACAAAGATGAAAGATATAAATATGCCATCACAGGTTTGTGGCACAACTACGACGAATGGATGAGACCAAAGTAAATACTCATATTTGCAAACTCTGGGATTTAAATCCTCTTAAATTTGAGTTCCGTTCATCACCAGCAATATGGTGAAATTACAGATATAAACATCTTTTGTTCACTGAAAGGAAGAGATAGACTTGGACTCATTCTTTTTTTTTTTAAAGGTATGATACAACAAATTAAGATATCTTCTGGAAAGGGGTCTGAGTTTAAGAATCTCTTCTGGATACTGCAATAACTAAGGGTGTAACTAGTGCCTGGAGTGATAACTATCTGCAGAACATCAACATTTTAACATGCATACAAAAACTGTTGTTCATAAACCTGTACCAGTACACTGGTAACACAACTTTATACCCCACACAGTAGCCCTTTGCATCCCTTTATTTGCCATTTGAGTTTCTGCAGTCTCAAGGTCTGTTCAGAAGAATGAGAGCATCAAGAATTCAATCTTTTTATAGTATTGCCTTGCATTACAGAGATTTGTGTGGTGCCACATAGGCTGGATTTCCCAATAGCTGGCAACAGGGTGTCAAGAGAACTTGGTTTCAAAAGCGCATAAATACAAAAATAATACTCAGAGAAAATAATCATGTTACATGTTTCTGGAAAGTGCATTTAATGCGAAAGTGCTCCAGAAAAGAAGAGGAAAAACAGGTTAATGAGAAGATTGCTGCCTAACTTTAGTTCAGCCTTAAATAAATACATAAATATGATGTAGCACTGTCTTTCCAAGATATTCAAGAGCTCGTAGAAGATCTGGAGGAGCACGTGCATCTGTGCACTGAGCATGAGAAAGTTACTTCACCATAAGTTTTCTCTCTTTCCTGAGAGCAATGGCTTATTCTTGTTGTGCTGCCTTATCCCTTGCTTTATAATATCTTCAATTTTGGCTTTGCCCTTGCTGATGTTCCTCAGCCAGCTGCTGGCCAAAGCTTTCCCTTTTGGAATACAGCAAACATACAGCTGGGTCTGTGGGAACTGCTGCCTGCTCTGACAGTCAGCCTCCCTTCCTCCCTTTCTGCCTTGTTTCTCTCCCAAAGGACAGTTCCACCACCTAGGGATGAGCATCCCTCTGGACTTGGTAGAGGCTTTGTGGTTGTAAAACCTTGCCAGGGGTTTGCCTGGTATCCCTCAGAAGGCATTTCAATCCCTAGTGGAGCAGGTAGTTGTTGCTAGCTATAGCTTCTCTCCACCTACATTTCAAAGTATTGAAATGAAGCAGCTGATGAATGTTGTTTTGGGGTTTTTTTTAGATATATTGGAAGACAAATGAATCTGCTCCATCCTCAAATGCTGGTTCTAGAGAAGAAATCTCAGTTGAAATGCTGCTCTGTCTGATGTGGAGAAGTTTGATCCAAATTTCTCCCAAGGATCTGGTTGTCTCGACAAGAGCAAAACCCGAAGGAACACTGCTTTGCTTTATTTTTGAGGATTCTAGTTTGACTGGTCAAAGGAACATGAGATCAGTTGCCTATGTGATGTTTTCCACCCATCAGGAATGGGAGAAGCTATCACGTGGTTGATCCTTGGTACTCAGACCCTGCAGCCAGATTGTTGACTGAGGTAAATTTATGGCAGTAAAAGAATCAGCTCATTGTTTCAAATTATCCTCTTTGGAGTTTCTGTATTGCTCAACATTGTCTTGTACTCTAGAAACTCTGGGATTTAAAACAAAAAGAAGTCATTACTGGTACTATTTTCTGTGCCTCTCAGGCTGTGCAGCTGGGTTGCCTTAGTTACCACCAATCCAACTGTGCAAGGGGAGGGAGAGGCACATGAGAGAGAATACATTTTTAAAACCTCCAATACTGTATGAAGCAGTTTGTCTATAAATAATAAAATTAATTTAGGGTATGTCATCTTCTGGTTGTTCTGAAAAGGAAAAACAAGGTTATATTATTCTACAACCTGGATTTTCTAGCTCTCAGAAGTGATACTCTATCCTTTTGGTCAAGCACAGGACAATTACTTGCTTGAAGCAGAAAGCTGCCATCTGTAGTCTTTGGAATAAGTTGGAACTAACTAAGTGTGAAAAAGAGTAAATATTTATGTAGCTGGTTTTAGGAAAAGTAATAGTGGCTCGGAGTTATAAAGGAATGGGGAAGAGTCCATAAGAAGCATGCTATGCTGTGGGACAAGCTTCATTTGCAGCCTACAGTCTGCCACACAATCTATGTCCAGAAGGAAATCAGGCTTGCCACTCTGTTGGAGCTATTTGTTAATTATTTCTTGCACCTTCGAGTAAACACATCTGGGCACAAACTCAGCAACCGTTCTTCCTTTGAGTGGGAAAGAAAGAAAAAGCAGCAACAGCCCTAAAGTTTTTTTCCTTTGGGGAGGATCCTGGTGCCAGCAGCCAGGACAGGGCGCTCTGCCTCGTCAGATCCCACCGGTATCAGGTCTAATTGCTCAGTGGCTACAGGTGTTATTGAAGAAGGTGTTTTCAGATGTGCCTATAGGAACCTAGTGGATAATTACATTGCTCTGTAACCCAAACTGGGCCTTTGGGGGACTGAGCAGGAAGCAAAAGAGAGATCAAAAGTGCCCTTCCATGTACATTTTCTTTTCAGGGAAGCGGGAGGTGGGCAGAGTAGAGAGCACAGAAAGATGAAGAGATCTGTCCTCTACCACCACAGACAGTTTTACTTTGTGGGGGGGGGTTGGTTTTTGTTTGGTTTGGTTTTCTGTAGGGTCATTTTAACTGCATCATCTGCCTTATTGTGATGGGAAGGTGAGACGGGAAAGGGTAGGATGAAAAAAGGTACATGGAGCCATTTTTTCTGGGGGAACAAAGGTATGCTGGAATTGTGTCTTCATTCAGTTTGCAGCTCTTTTTATTCTGGTAGTGCTGAGCCAAAGATTTGTCTCAATCAGGAACATATTAAGAATTTGGCACACTGTAATTTGGAATAGCTTCCCTGTGGCTGTGCTTCAATGCTTATTGGGACCTTGTTATCGACACCAGCTTAAGGAAGTCTTAGCTTTCTCTTGAGTGGACACAGCTGGGAAATGAATTGGGAAAAAGACTTTGTACCAACATGGGGAACTGTAGCTCAAGGGAAATATCTTGCACATGGGTGAAAACACCATGTAATTGTTAAGGCCAGGATTTTACGGCTCCTTTGAAAAATATCAAGTATACATGGAGAGGCAGACCCACCACACACAAGAGGCCTCCAGGGATCACAAGAGCACACCATGTATCAGTGGAGAATATCATATATGCTGTGTTCATATACATACTCTGAGGTTGCATTCATGCTACCACAACTGGGGGTGCTTTTCAGCCTTTTTGTGTGCACTGAAAAGTTGAGTGCTTGCCCCAGTTTATTTAGTCAGCTGTTCGAAATGTGTTTTTGCACTTAATTTGATCTCTGCTTAGTATGACCTTTTGTCCAATCAATTAACACATTGGAAATCAAATTATTTTAATTCTGATTATCTCCAATGTATGCATCAGGCATACTCTAGGCCTGAAATTACTATACTCTGACATGAAAAAAATCTGATACCTAGATGTATCAGATATCTCATATAAAGACTCACACCATCTTGTAGTGATGATGTGGTCTTTGATTGGTAATAGTTACTATTTATGTGATACATCTGAAACCGGAACTAGTGCAGAAAGGCTGCAAGTCAGTTTTCATTTACCAGCAGTCCTCATCTCATATCATGTTTATGCAGAATAGAATGCAGCCAGAATTTCCAAACATCAACATGCAGACCAAGCATCCTATTTGCAAAGGTATCAAGCGGTGAAGTTGGTTATTCAGCACATTTGAAAGTCAATCTGCTGCTTTTAGGTAGCTGAGTATGGATGGTGAGAGACTAGCTACAGACACTCTACTTTGGCTTGACAGGCATGTGAGACTTTGCAAAATGGATCAGGCATCAAATGTTCCCTGAGAACAGAGGGAGGTTGTCTTATTTATTTTCAGAGGTGTTTTTGCAGTGTTTTTTCTTTCATCAGAAAGCCAGTTTAAGAAATTGCAAATGTTCACACATTTGTCCTAAATAAAATATACACATTTTTCTGACAGAAACACTTTCATCCTCAAAAACTTAATCTTGAATTAAAAGGGAAAGAGGAAACCAGAAGGGATAATGATGACAAAAACAACAGTAACAACAACAATAATGATAATATCCAATGCCAAACACCCAAAGGTGCTTCCTCAGTTCTCTCTTTCCTCCAACTGTTGAATGTGTCCTCCTAAACTATTTTTTCCCAACTGCCCATTTGTCCAAGAAAGCTGTCTTTCATTTTCCTTAAATCACTACCAGTTATAACACTACCAAAGCAGAAGGGAGAAATTCTCAAGAGTTTGTAAAACTTTCTGAAGTACTGTTTTATTCATGGAGCTGCTGCCACGATGCTTTTGCTTGGATACAGTAATGCATTTCTATAAATTGTCAGTAAACAGTGCTGTTCCCTAGTCTGACAAACACCACGTGAGGCAGGTGTAAGAGTTTTAGCCAGGGAGACAAGTCTTCTCTGGACCCTTCTTTGAGTAGGAATTCAAAACCAGTGATTATGTTTGTAAGAGACGCTTCTTTAGCCACATTTGAGAAAGCTGGCCTGGCCTTTTTTCTGGTAGGGTTGGGATCCTTGCTTCAATTTGTTCTCCCTTTGTTAGTAAGTGGGCAGGACTTGGCAATCGCTATCAGATACCCAAAATGCCATCACCCCCCGTCAGTGTACTAGTGCCCCCTTCCTCTCCCTGCCTGCCTAAGCAATCACAGCAATTAATTTTTGATTTGTTTTCATATGGATAGAAGTAATAAACAAAACTTGGACTGACCCCATATCATACGGTTGAGGAACTCTCCAAAATTGTAGAAAGAGACGATGACAGCAAGGCTACCGGCAAAAAAGGCTGCTAGTCCAGGTGGGCTGAACAAAGCAAAGAGAGGATATACCCACTCTCCTGTTACAGAATAAATCCACAGGACCCTAGGCAAGGAAGGAGAGAAATCACCTTTGGTTAGGACCATTCAGTTAGAAGAACCACTTAACTATTTCTAACTCCTGAAAGGCCAAGTTATCAAAATGGTCTTGATACAGAGAAAATTAGATCAGCTGTCTATACATCTCCTCAGCACTTGGGCTATTTGCTGTGAAGCACACTTAAGCTGCTGCCAAATTAAATGGGTTTCAGTGCAGGTTGAAATGCACAAAATGTTCTGCTGTCACCCTGGTGACATTGGCTATTAACAGCAGTAAAATAACACTAAAACAGCAAAATGTTCCTGAACAGGAATGTGCCCTTGTATATGCTAAGTGAAGCTTATTCAAATAAGCTCTCACATGTGTTTGCTCTCTATTTACAACAGCTTTTCAGCCCCTATCCAGATCTCAAGGGCTTGTGGAGACAGTGCTGCTTCTCCCTGCCTCAATCCTGCTGCTGTTGACCACTGTTTTGAGGAGTGGAAAGAAGTTTTCAGGAGGCAAGAGGGCAAGGACAATTCTCCAGCATCTTTTCTTTTGGTCTAAGAAGAGGAAGAGAAGAGGAATGGGTAGATAGGAAACAGATGCAGCTGCTTCACTCCTTTTTTCCAGAACTCTTTGTAAAGCATAGTTTGGAAAAGAAGGAAAAGGAAAAAGATTAATATGCCTGCTTTATAGGGTTTATTTTCTTCCACTTAGGCCCTCTCTTTCTGCTTTTTTCTTCTTTCAGAAAACATGTTGTAGTGCCTATCAGTTCACTGGTACTATTCTCATTGTTTATGGCTCATAAAAGTGGTTTGTAGAAAACACCTGAACTTAAGAATATAAAAGTGGTCTTTATGTACTAAATATAGGAAAAAATACAATTTTTGTGACTAAAATTATATATATTTGTGTTGAATATGTAAAGAATATAAGAAATAGGGTTGGTCTCCAGTGATTGTTGTAAGATTCTGCCATTCTAACGATGGACAGCACTTCCCTAAAACAAAGCTTTGGGTCCAAAAGATGCTAAAAGGTTTAATTCTTGATTAAAAAAACCCCACATATAAGGTGAATGCCATACTTTCCACCATCAGTGCTAACATGGGAATGCAATCCCACTCTTTCTGATGGCAACCAGCCTGCTACCTTATGCTGAGCATCATTCCTCAAAGAGAAGTGACAAACAGGCTGCCCTACCATCTTGCAGCTGTGTCCTGACACTGAGCAATGGGAGAGTTCTAAGGACAAAAAAAAAGTTTGAAAAGATGATTCTTCCTTTCTCTAGTTAGAGAAGGAAAGAGTGGGGCATAAAAAAGGTGGATTTTTACCCTGCCTGTAAATTGAGATTTACTAATCCTCATCAAAGGGATAGAGTGGAGAAATGGAAGGGATTGGTAGTGGAGCTTTCTGGACTGAGCACAGAAATGTTTAAATATAGAGACTTATTTTCATGATTTAAGGTTCTTTCATCAAACAAACAGGGCTGTGAAACACAGAAGTAATTAAAAAAATAAAAGCCTGCAAAAAAGGCCACTGAGAGGCTGAGCAGAAATACTGAAGACCAGGTGCTAACTGGAGCCTGTGCAAATATCAGCATGTGTTCTTCACTGCACAGGACTACTCTTTCTGTATTGTGTCTCAAACAGTAAAACAGAGAATGAAAACTGCCTTTATTTTATATAACGAGGAGCTAGATTATCTTGATGCAATTTGGCCAGCTGGTGTGTCTCATATGAAGCACTCCACCTTGTGTTCTCAAACCCAAATAAATGACTATGCAGGGTATTCAGAGCTACAGTGAAACCCTGCTCAGAGGCAGGTGCCTGGTGCAAGCCATCGCTGGTGCTTAGTTTCTCTGTTACCTTGCAGGGACCAGCTCTCAGCCCATTGACACTGCAGCAATGGCAGTGGCAGTTCAAGGAGAGGCTTTTAGGAAGGACTCTGTTGCTTTTGATGCATACAGTGCCTCAATGGGACTATTAAATCACCAGGTTGCAGCACCAACAGTAAAATATGTACCTACGTTAAGACTTCAGTGCACAGGCCTGAAATTCTTTATGTTAGTTGAAAGCTGTTGTCTGTGGTTGCAGGGAATCAAGAAGAGGAGGCCAGAAGAAAGCAAATAGGAGGTTCCTTGCTGACTTGGGAGCAGTATTGAAATCCTAATATTTCTATCCAGTCATCAGGGCCCTGGGACAAAGGGGCCAAGCATTCTAAGGTACCACCTTCCACTCAGGACCCTGGCAGCACCATGCAGCACCAACTCACAGAAGATACTGGGAGGGCTCAATTGTGTTGATGCTTGTGTTAATCCTCATCCTTTGGTGTGGATTCAGATCCTGATATGAATTGTGTCTCCTGAAGGGTGAAATTGCTCAGCTGATAGGAAATTTAGGGGAAGACATGGCACACATGGCTGTACTAGTTGCTGGAAGAGCAGTCTGGTCTCAAAGACAGTAAAACTCAAATGTCAGAAGACAAGCAAAACAAAGCTGGTGTTAAGCAACTGGGTAAATGAGAACATAGAAAAGGAATTCAGGAAGACGTGGTTGTAATCCTATTAGGCTCTGGGTTGGATTAGGATAAATGGCTCTTAAGTTCCTTATGTAATGTAACAGTGAAGTCCCCTGCTTCCACAGTCTCTCTTACACAGACTGATGTGTTTCAAGTCACATGTGTGACTTTTGTCTGTGCAGTTCATTTTCTATTCCAAATGTTCATTTGGTGGGCTGAAGGTAGTCTCTAGCTGATAGTGCGAACTGGTGGGTAGGAATGGGAATGATGGGTTCCCTCACAGTCCCAGTGACTTCTCAGAAATCTTTGCATGAAGACAGGTCACTTCCCTGCAGACCTGTATCCTCTTGTTGTTATCCTCTTCTGTATCCTCCACCCTAAGGCCTGGATGTTTCCTCAGCTCTGGAAAGTGATATCACAGCATACCCTGAAATTATACAGACCCCTTCCTGAGCAGAGTCTCAACATGAGGCATCCTCAGAGTATTTTGAAGTGTTGGCAGCTGTCCATGGTTATATGGAGTGGTAGTGCCTCCAGACCAGGATGCAACAGATGCAAACCCAGCTCCAGGGGTGCATGACGCACACACAGGAGGTACACAGATGGCTATGGGCTGGAGTGAGCGTGCTGATTAGATAGAGTTTATTCTCTCAAGATTGTTCTCCAGTGTGTTGGGGATCAACTGTGGTACATTGTTGGAAATGTAGGCGGTGTCCACAGGTGGAGTAGGAGGTGCTAGTGGGGCAGACACCTCCTTGCTACCCATTGGGTTGCACCTGGCTCTGAGTATCATTTTCTGTCTCAAGTTTCTAAACCCAGCCATGTGTTTCCCTGCCAAATACTGAACTGAATTTTACTCCTCCCCTGCTTCCATGACCCCTAGACCTTTTGAGATTTGGTGGTTTTGCAGTGAGCAAGAGAGCAAATGGAGGTAAATTTGATGGTACTGGTAGAAATAAAAAATCCAGTCCAGCATAAATAACTCAGAGTACTTGGAGTTTATGGCAATTTAGTTGCTTTTCTATAAGAGGCCTTAGAAGAGCAGAAGATACTGTGTAAGGTATCAGTACCTGTACTGTGTTTGAAGAAACCTCGTCTACCTACATCTGGAAATAGTTTCCGTGGGTCTCAGCTGAAGTTTAAATGATTTCTCCACAGAACAGACTGTTGTCTTCCATGTACCTGGGCGAGAACTTAGATCTAAGTACAGCAATTGGCCTTGTTTTACAAAGTAGATCACTTGAAGAAAATGTTTTAAAATACATCATTCTTACCAACTGATATACAGAAAAGCGACAAATCCCAATAGAATCAATCCCTTCCTCTTTGCTGGGTAACGGTGTGGCAAGGCAAGGATTTCCAGGAGAGCAAATGGCAATACAGCTGTGTGCTGAGGAAAAAAGAGAGTCTGTCACTGACCGATTGCAGTGCCTCACCTTCAGTTATTGCTGATCACAAAGCTCAAGCACCTGCCTATAAGCAAAGGGTTATTTAACAATACTGAGTATAATTGTATACAAATGTGCATACTTGGTTTTTTTCATAGTGAAGAAGTACCCCTACAGTAATGAGCACAAAAATTTTCTTGTTAGTATGATGTAAAAGGTACTGTAATGAGGTTTGCCTGTAGCGTGATCTGCGTTACTTTATAATAGATGAGCTCTCCTTTTGCATTTTTAATGCAATAATTTTTTTGTTAATTCCCATTAGAGTACAGAAGTTATTGAACTCTATTGTAATGTGCACTTGAGGATGTAAAAAGTCTGCTCCTTGAACTCATTAAGCAATTGTTGGATTGCCTTTTTGTTCTCTTCAAGTCACTATTGTATTTTGTATATTGTCATTTATTACTTACTCCAGTGCAATTGCAGTGTGTTGTGCTTCTCTTTTTAAACTGAAAAATGGGGTGGTAAACATACAGAGGACTTCAGTTAGCTGTGATTGAAGATGATGAAGGAACTTCAGAAAAGCTTATTTAAGAGTTAGAAAGGAGTTAGATTGCTGGAGAAGCGTGTTTTTCTTCTTTTTTTTTTTTGGTCAAAGAGTTTGTATTGTATTAAGTAGATTCAGTTTCAAAGACTTTTATGATAACTGTCTGAGCACGGAGGATTTTTAGCACTGTGCAGACAATTTGGTGGCACTGACTGTTTTGTGGTGAGCAGCTGCCTCCAAGAGGAGGTGGGGATGTTGGGAGCGCAGCAGAAGGCCTTCTGCTCTCAGATGTTGAATGGACAGTGTAGGGACTCTTGGGATGCTAATGCCTCAACTTGTTGACTGATTTGTACCAATTTCAGAAAATAATTTGTTTTGGTGAAATTTCCACACTGAAAGTTTGGTAATTTTCCCTGTGCAAACAAACGACTTCAAGTTGCAATACCTAGGAGAGATGGCTTAAACAATGTTGAGGAACAACACAGCAAAAACAGTCAATGAGATGCAAAGGTGAAAACTAAAGCAACTGTAGCTGACTAGTTGGTTAAATTCCTATTAATTAAGGAAATATTTTCATGGGTAGATAGAGGGAGGTATGGGAGGAGGGCAACAGAGTAAGATAGACTTTTAAACAGAAAAAATGTGAAACTAAGGATTTCTTTTGTATTTTTCCCTAAAGGCACAACCTGCTGGATGTATGGTATGAAGTTTCCTCTTGTCCTAAGGAAATGATGTAATACTTTCAATGTATGTGTCTGTCAGAGACTTTGCTGAGTATCTGATATGATAGTATGGTGTCAAAGTTTTCTTGCTGCATATTTATAGTATAAGTTGTCACAAATACACATTAAATTCCTTAAATGCACATTGAGCTATATATATTATGCATGAAAACAGTCTTTACCTATTTGTTTGAGACAGACATCCATTTTTGTCTGCTGCTGCCAAGTGACAACTCCCTGGAAGCTGCATGTCCTCCTTCAGCCCTCCCAACACCCCTGAGAGCTGCTATTCATACCTGGCTGTCCTACTATCAAAATAACCCTTTCGCCTTCGTTATCATTTTTTTCAGAGAAAAGAGATAGAAAAGATTTATTTGATGTTCCAGTTTCTCTCACTCACTGGCATTGAGATTTCCTTCTGTTTTCTTTCACAAAGATATTCTTCAGCTCTACAACCCGCTTAGTTGATCACATAGGTCTTGTATCAGTACAAGTGATTCCTGAGTTCATTTATCATGTTTCCTTTGTGAATATAAAGGTTTTTTCTTTTTGTCCACAACTCCTTCTCATGTACACATACACCCCAGGCCAGTAACCATGTGGGAAAATCTTCTCTTGCATTTCTGCTGTCCCAGAGTCCACTGGTGGTTTCACGTATTTCTACCAAGCCAAATTTGTCCATTAACAGTAAAATCACAGAGGTATTTCTGTCGAATATCTGAGCATGTTTATGACAGCAGATGTGTATTTATACAGCAGACACCAGAGGAACACGAGGATGGCTACAGGGTGCAAAGCTTACCCTTTGCCTGCGACACACAGCTGGATTTCCACACGATTTTCCTCTCGCAGCAGAGGGACGTTGACTTTGGCAACATCGTTAGTGATAGACCATATGTCATGGTTAATCATATCTACTGAAAGGCTTTAAAGTCTTCTCATATCCTTCTCAATAAAAAAAATAAAAAAAAGTATTTTCTAATTCAAGTTATTTTTAACCATAGGTCTCTAGTGCATAGTCATTAAATATATTTTCAACCCTATTTAGCTGAGCTTCATATCCTTAAACTGATGTATATCTGAGGGGTGCAGTATTTGTATGGGGCCAAATTAAAATATACAGTTTTGCCTCCTCCTTTAAAGAAAACTTAATAATTAAGCTCAGATTGACATAGATCAAAATATTGGCAAAAATTGCTGGAAACAGTGACTCATTTTTTATTTCAATTAACAGTTTCTCGGTTTCACATATAAACAGTGAAACTGTCAAAAGTAATTATCACAGAGGGAGAAAAAAACCTATTTCACTCCAAAGTAAGGAAAACAAGCTAAAACAATAGCTCTGTGTACTGATCAGGCTATCAATGAACCAAAGTGAATCAGAGAGCTTTTTTTGACTCTTGGCAGGAATCCTGTTAGTACTTATTTTTATGTTCTTTGAAATATTAATGTATTTACTTGTCTAACAACCTCTGTTTGTTGAGGGAAGCTTTCAGCTTACAAATTTTGCAAGAGTAAAGTATTTTAAAAGCTGGGGTTTTTTATGTATTTCTATAATGAAAAGGTAAAAGTTATGGGACTTTCCAAATTGTCAGAGGCCTTTGGTTAGCTAATCACACTTTTAATCTGAATTCTGCTTCCAAACATTCAATTTTAAAATCCTTTGTGTCTCTTTTTGGCACTTATTATGATTTTTAACTTGTGTTTGGTTTCTTTGCTTCTTTCCTTACAAACTCAGGTGAATCTGAACTAGTTAAAAAATTGCAAATTTATTTTTGTAGCTCATAAACTCTGGCATATGAATACAGGGGAAAGAAAGTTTCTTAAACATATGTTGAACTTTATCTGAAACATTGGCATGTTAACTCATATCCTGCAGAGAAGAACATTCTTTTCCTTCTTTACTTTTTGTTTCCCAGGATACGTTTCAGGTTCATCAGTTTAAACTGAGATAAATAGTCCTCTCTGAATATTTTTTCCACTGTTTGGTCAGTCCATATGGAATCTTTACTTCCCATGTTTTGAGTAATTTGTGCGTTTATTTAATGCTATATCCTCGTTTCACCATTGAGAATACAAGCACAAGCAAGTTTCCTGGGGTCGAGAAGACAGGGTTTGGGTAGAGTTTGTGTTCAGCTGCAGGCTCCAGCCTAGGCTGAGTTTTAAGCCCATGAATAATCTCCCCAGAGCTGCTGAGATCACTCGTACGCCTAACGCGTGTGTTGCAGTTGACTCGGTTTGACCTTGTTTGACTCCAGAGTGAAGGAAATGATGCCTCGGTTGACCATAGCTGTTTGTTTCTAATTTGTCTGCATTTACATACCCTCCATGTCTGCTTTCCATTAACATGTGAGACTTTAGGGAGGGATTTTTTTCACAAACAGTTACCGCTGGCCAACCTAAACTCCACAGGGCACAGTTGGAGACCATCAAGTGCTTTTGAAAAACTGCCTGTGTTTCTCCTTTCAGACAAATTCCCCACAGAGACTGTGTGCTGACAACCACTCATGGCCAACACTCATGCTTCTATCTTCTCCATCAGTATGTTACTGCAAAGAAAAAGCAAAACCCCACTTTGGTGCTGCCTTATGAGGCTTGTAAGCCAGTGTTCATTGGTTGACCCTTGAGGTGTTTACTCAGATATTCAGCTCTTTGTTGGGAAACATCCCCTTGTCTATGGAAATTTCCTTCAGTCAGATTCTTTCATAAACACAGCCTGTGTTATCTGAGCATAATAAAACTAAATGGCTTCCTGTCATGATGACCTCTGTTTAGTTTTATACTCATAATTTTCTGAATCTCTGTATGCTCTTTCCTTTTTTGTCCTAATTTTCGAACAAATCCCCACTTTTGATTTATTTTGCTGTTATTTTGCCTTCATTCAAATGCCTCCTTCAAAATTGTCTTTTCCAATATATCCTTATACGTTTTTCTTACTCTCTTAACCTCTCTTTAATTTTCGGGGTGGAAATGGCTTAAGCATTATTGTTCATTTTATTTCTTTAACTAGTACATTGCCATGTTTAGTTAAAGAAATAATTCTCTCTTAGAGTTACTACATATTTTACGTCTTTTATATTCTCAGCCATCAGTGCATTTCCAGGGAAACACAGATTTATTTTATGGATAGAGTGGGATGTACAAGGAGTCCTGTTACTGAGCAGGTGTGGTGGCAAATTAGTCAGGAAGCTATTGCTCAGTTTAATTCCAGCAGCACTCCTCTCTGAACCTTCAGCTACTCTCTCTGCCCTTTCCAGGTCCATTCATGCTCATCTGTAAACCAACATTTTTTTTTTCTTAGATACATAGGTAGTTCTGGAGCATTGTTGTGAAAAATGGATGAAACATCAGACCAATTGTGTGATCAAAGGTAAAAGAGTTTCAGAGATAAAGTTTCTTTCTTGCATGCATGCATTTTTGGTAATAAGGCCCTGGCTGAATATCCTATTGCTTACTAGCAAATGTTTTGTCTCAATGTCAATGCCAGAATTTTAATTGCATTTCACCCTGACATTAGATATGTAGTCTAAGAAACTGATGTTGCATTGCAGCTGGAGGCTGACATGAGACTGAAGTGACACATCCTTTGCTGTGGAATATTTGTCTCCAGCTGTTCCTTTGCGGGGTGGGTTACGGAGGCTGCACCTGTGCACACTGGGGTAGCAGCAGCCCGGGAGGATTCCCTGCCATAACATTTGTCTGTAAAACACATACTTTCTCCCTGAGGAAATGGGCTTATGTCAACAAAAAATGGAAACTTCAAAAAAATCTATGTAGTACTGGGAAAAGCTAAGGATTTTTGCTCTTAAATGTGTGGGGTGATTAATTTTGTGTGCCATATCCCTCACACATACATTCTTCTTTGCCAAAAGCTGAATGTAGTTGAAAGCCTATGAGTGTCCATTGTTGCCAGACAGCTTAAAATTGAGATAATGTGAAATGCAAACAAATGGAAATGTTTCTCTCTGGTATAAATGTGCAAGAATTATTAAGCATTAAATACCACTTGCAAAGAGAATAATTTAAGATTGTCAAAGATGAACCTGAGGTTGTTCTTGTGTACACACCTGGAGTAATGGTCCAGTTAGAGTGGCCTGAACAAGTGGGTTTTGCTCTATGAACTGATTTTGCACCCCCTTTTTTGGTTAGTGATGCAGCAGCTTCCTAAAATAGCTGTAGTAATTTATATTCATAGAACTTATTATTTTCCAGATGGAAGTAAATCACATTGATCCAAAATACCATTTCTGTTGATGTAGTTGTGTACACACTGGGGAAGGTAAGGCTTAACTATGTAGGCAGAACACAAGCAGCTTGTATATACCAAGAAGCTCCAAGATGAGAGGGAACATTGTGAGTCTTGCTGGTATTCTTACTGTCAGGACATCAGTGGCTTGCTTCAGTGAAGGAAAATTACTTGTATGCACACAGCTTGTTCTCTCGCTCCCTTGCATTTTCTTTTATACATTCAGATACTGCTTACGTGCATCAGGTCAAGGTTCAAAGGAGATTCAGAGGCTCAGGCCATTTGGACTCGTCATCTTTGCTGAAAATCTACCAGGTAAGACGTGTTTCTTCTGTGTCTCCATTTACCATCCCTCCTTTTCTATTCTCAGCTTTTTAGCTTACAAAGTCCTCTGAACATGCATTATTCACAACAACAGTAAAGTGCCTAGGACACTAAAATGCTGATTTTTGTAAAGGTGAGTGGGTAACACGGCTAAAGAGTAAATTAGAAAAAGAGATGGCTGAACTAAACTTAGCTGCAGCCTGGAAACAGAGAAAATTTTGTTTTTTACAAGAACTACCCTACAGACTGAAAATATAAACCTTTTTTTACAAAAATACAATTCTACTGCTACCATTTTTTGTGAACACATGTGGTCAAGGCTGATGTGTATCTTTTGTTATAGATTAAAATGTTTTTTAGTTATCTCTTCTGAACCACCACCGCTCCTCTTTGTTTAGTGTTCAATTCTGTCAGACCCTTCAAAATGTAACATTCCCCAATACTGCCATGAAGTTGAAAAATATGTGCATATGGTTTAACACAACTGTCTCCAGCAGTTAGTTGCCTTCTGGAGGGTATCCAGATGTTGCTTGGAAAGAGATGACTGGGAAAGAAATAAACAAATTCCCTTGACAAATTGGCCAGCATATCTTTTGTCTCAGCCATCTTCCACTTCAAAAATCTTGTTCAAATAAAATAATTGTGCTTGAGACATAAGTAGGGTGGGTTTTTTTTCATCCATGAAGCTCAAAGTTTTGTATAGAGATGGTAAAACATAATTATCACAGGTAAACAGAAGTGGAAACTGAGGGTCAACCTTTGGATTAAACTCAGGAAAAAAGCAGAGAGAAACCCAGATAGTCTGGAATATTTGGCCTCTTCAAATATTAGCAAAATTCCTTTCTACATTAGCCATCCTTTCCGCAAAACAGAGGATATTTCTGCTCAGACTGCAAAAACATGCCTAAACTGTAGTGCTCTCTCCACAACTCTGGGCTACCTGGTGGCCAACAACACTTTCCCACTGTAAGAGCAGTCCATGTGAGGGAAAAAAATGGCCAGTTCATTTTTGCAAGGAAGGTGCTGCAGCATCACCACAAGCAGCTCAGTATCCTGAAGTGATTTTGCGTGCGTGTTCTACAGTTACATAACAACATATGCTTTCTCTATTTACAATATTAAAATAGACCACAATTTAAAAAAAAAGTACTCCCGCTGCAAATTATATGGCACTGACATTTACTACTGATAGACCAGTGTCTTTTTCCACCAAAGTCAGCTACATGCTGCCTCAATCTGCCATGAAATGTCTGGAATCTCAGAGCCGTAATGTATAGCAATGTGCAAGAAAATGAACCCAAAGAAAAAGTGTCCGCTTGGCAATCAGAATTTGGAGATTGTCCCTTAAAGTGTTGGTATCTCCCTGCAGCTCCCTAGTGTTTCCAGTGGTGGTGTTGGAAGAAAGAAATGCCTCAGTGAAGCCTGAAGGCACCTGTTGGAAGGTGTGCCAAAACACAAGGATTGTCAATAGCAGGGATCAGTCTATGCTGGCGGCACATGTTTTACACTTGATATTGACTGGAAGGAAAATTTCCCACCCAGGAACTGTCAAGCGCAAGATGTCTGCAGTGTATTAAGAGCTTCAGAAATAAAATACTAGGTTGTGATAGAGGTTTGCTTTATGCGAAGTTTCTATCTCGTCAAAATAATTTTCAGGAAGAATTGTTTTTCCTTTTTTTATCACCTGTTTTTGACATTTTTGATATGGAAAAGCTTTTTGTTGTTGTCAGAATGACTCTGTTATGAAATGTAGATATAGGTAGGGTAAGACAGGAGTTATAACTAATATGTTTGAGAGATTCCTGCAAAGAGTTCTTGCATATGAAATAAAATGGTATGTCCTGGCGCCTCTCAACCTTACCATGTCGTAAAGAAATGTGGAAATGGAAAGGGCAAATTCTCAGCTGTGTGCTGGGATTAAAACAAGCAGCAAAGCCTATATCCTCTCAGCTCCACTATGTACCCTCCCCTTCCCCAGCACCTCCACCACTGTGAAGATTTTAAACCAGTTGCCCGTATTGCATCCTGGCCCTGAAACCAGCATGATGCTGAGGACATGAAGAATTTGTCATTTTTGTGGATGATGATTTTGAGAGGGAGTGGTGTCCTCTTGCACCCTTTCACAGAGTTTTGGACAGCCACAAAAAGGCTCTGGTTGAGATGAATTGGTGGACAGAGAGCTGGTGATGAGGTTAAAAGTGTGTGATGGCTGTGGTTTATCACTCGGGTATCAGCAATGCAGACATGCCTATGTGTGTTTGGATTCCAGTCACACATCTCTGAATATGCCTGTCCAAATCAAGTGGCTGCTCAAACCTCCAGCAACTGTCTTCAACCAGACACCCCAAAACCTCCCACATTTTCCTCCAACACCCGTCATGAACTGCTGCAGTGGGTTGCAAAGCGCTATTCTTAAGAAATTAAGTCTGGAGAGAAATGAGTCTTCTATGTGATTATTTCATAGTTTTTGGCTCCTCTGATTCAGCCTAGCACTGAACCTCTCCCTTCTATCCCCCTTCCCATTAGCCCCATGAGGCCTCCCTGACCTTGCAATCCACCCACAGTTTCTATGTTACTGTCAGCCTCCTTACACTTGACTGATGAGAAATATGTGATTATTCAACACATCATAAAAACGGCCAGAGCAAATGAAGGAGAAATCTGGAAAGTATTTACAGAAAATCTGTAAACAATCATTGCAATCCAGCTATTCAAAGCTGTGCACACATTAGCTTATTAGCTATAGACCTGTCAGATTTTCTTTGGTTATTTCACCTTTTTTAAAAAATTAAGAGCTGCTTTGTTATACTCCCAGCCGTTTTGTATTTTAGAGACTTCTGTTAGCAGAGACAATTTCTTTCTTGAGCTACAATAAGCGAGATTTTTTTCCTTCTGACTACACATCATTTCATTGACTTCAGAGGTTTGACAAGCACCAATTCACTGACATCCTTGTGTGATAAAAGGCTTCTTGAGGCAGCTTCAAGCACATGCATCTGCTTGCTGTGTACAGCTCAACATCAGATTCAGACAAGCAGGAAGGAGGAGGTGAGAAAGAAGAAGCTGTGAAACTCTTCTGGAAAGTGACACAATGCATTGATGGGACGTTGCAAAGTCTCCCTCTTCTCTGCAAGAGGCCAAGGTGTTTCTTACTCACCATAGCGTGGTTTAACCAGAATGGGATCACTCTATCAAGGCTTCTGGGATAAACCAGCTCTCGATTGTAGGAATACAGTGTCCAAAAGGATATACACACAAACTGGAACACAAACACAAAATAAAAGAAATTTAGAAAAGAAAGACAAACATAATTAGGATAGGATTTGGTTAGTGCTTTCATTTCTGAGAAGGCAAAACATTTTCTCCATGAAAAATGATGACACTGCCAGATGAACTCATGTTATCTCACATTTACTCTGAGATGCAGTGTTCTGTGTTGATACTGGGAGAAAAAACCTCCTTTATAAAGTGCCAACACTGACATTTTCTGTGGAATCCAAGATTAGCTGCTTCTTCTTTTTTCCCTTTCCCTTTCCCTTTGCGGATGGGATCTTTTGATGGTCCAGGAGTTCTCCTCAAGGGACTGTCTGTCAAGCCTGTGTTTTGCTCAGTGACAAAGTAAAAACAGATCTTAGTAAGAGAGTTCACATAGTCTTACCCTTATCTTCACAATTCATAAACCTAATTCAGAAACTGCAGGTGAAAGCTGTACTTTGGCCCCCCTTTTTTTCCCAACAGAGTAGGATTTACAGTGGGAGAACTTAACTGGAGGAAATGATCCCTGGTATCAGTTACTGATACCTGGAAGCTGATTTGCATTTTGTTTGGCCTGGCTTTGTATTTGAGCACACTTTGTGGTTAGGGTTGGAAATCAGGAGTGTGAGATGCTGGAAGAAGGAGACAGAGCCTCTGTCCAGCTTGCATGGTGGGGATCCCTGGGGGGATATGACAGCAGCATTGTGAATACTGCTGTGCAGGGAAGACAAATTATCCAGTCTCTCTGACTCCATCCCTGTCAGGACATTTTTACTGAACCAGCTAGCTTGTGGACCATGTTTAAGCAGTGCTTCTCAGCCCTTTGAGATTCAGAGGTGGCTGCAGGCATCACTCTCAAAGAGTGCACTTACATGTATAAATAACCCATCAGTTCCTGTCCAACCCACGGTGTTTTGATAAACAGCATTGTCTGTGAGGGAGTAGGTGATACATGATGAATCTGACATAAGCTGTGACTATAATTATTTTTCCATGAATCTGTTTCTCTCCAGTGCTCATTTAAAGCCACACTGGCTTTAGAGAAGGAGATGTGAGGTTTTATTGTGTCTTAGGTACCCTCTCATGTCCTCCCGACCTGTTCTGCCCTTTAGAGAAAAGCCCTAAGTTAATAAAGCCACAGCTATTTGAACCATGAGATTAACGGAGAGGTTACACCTCATTCACCCTTTGGGGTCAATCTGTGTCCACTCAAGGACAGTAACCCTAACATTTGTGCAAGAGGCTTTGCTTTCAACCATGACAGGCTCAGCATTGTTTCTTCTTCTAAACAGTCCAAATCCACTGCAAATTCAAGGGTAAAAGAGAGCCCTTAGTTCTTATCTCTTTTATACACATACATGGTATGCTATATACCCTTAAGCATTTATGCAAATGTTATTTTCTCGTACAGAGACAAAGGTTACTTACTGTGGACACTGGGAAAGCCAGGACACTGAAAAGAAGGTCTCTGCTGGAAATTACGCACTTAGCACATCGCAGTTTCTTAATTAGTCTCAACACATCAGCCAGGAAGGACACCCCATAGAAGACGGCCTGCAAAATCTAAAGTAATTACACCTAATGAGGAAAACTCATACAGCTTTCATTAGCACACACCTCAATGAAATCTGTCCTTGCTCTTCAGGGAGCTGTTTTGTTCATGAGTTGCAAGCCTGCGTGAGGGAAATAGCTGTTGGCTAAATCTTTTTTTACTAGCTGAAACTGATTAAAGAAAGTTGTTCAGGAGATAACTTTAACAATATCTCAGTTAACAGACTAAACAGAGATGTGTGATGTGATTCAGATGGGTGAAGTGATTCAGATGTTGAAAGCCAGCTCCCTCACACTTCCTATGTTAATTGTTGACGTTGGATGTATCTGAGCAGGAGAGAATAAAATACACCAGGAAATGTTTTCTGTAAAGCAATTGCTAGATGGATTTTCCCACCATTTAGCCAACACAGGTTCTTTCCAGGGACTCACAGTGCAGTTGATATCACTGTCAAGTAGTTCAAAATGCTCTAATATGAGAATTAGGTGCAGAAGTTATCCAAAACAGAACCTCTTTTGCTGAACTCAAATTCAATAAAGGATTTCAAGTGTTTAGGAGCAGAGATCCAGACCACTGAAGTTTTAGTTAAGTTTACATAGAACTATTTATAACTAATGAATTTTAGGGATGAGAGGTTGTGTTTTGGGTTCAGGTTTTTTTTTTTTTTCTTTCTTTACATCATTTACAAGCAATGAGGGAGGGATTGTTTGGGGAGGGTGCTAGGAGGATTTGGTAAAGAATTAGGCAAGTGCACACAAAACAGAACTCCGCAAATTATGTGTGAAATTGTCAGAACATTGTGGTTTAAGGCAATATTGCTTTTCTGATTGCTTCATTTTCTCTCCTAACACTACACAGCAGATCGAGACGAACCCAGTTTGTCAGATGCACAAAGGCAGAGCTTTGCAGAAAAATACTTCTCCCACTGCCTTGCATTCCCCACCGAGTCAGTTCAGTTTGGTTAACTCACAGGGTGGCCCCTTCTTTTTAAGGCTAGATTCTCCCAGAGTGATGCAATATGGGAAACACAGACTACTGCAAACACGAGACCAGCTAGTGATACTTAAATGGAAAGATGGTTACAGCTTTCAGGATGAGATCTCTTTTGCCATGATCTCCACTGTGAATCAGATACTTATTTAAAGCAAAGTGTCTGAAGTTGTGGCTGGTTACTTCATCAGTTTCTGAAGAAGCTGAGAAGGGTGGTGCTTGGGAGGGGAAAGGATTAGTGCAATGCTTTTCCATGAGAAATTCCTTTTTTATCAAAGTATCTGAGGGGAGGAGGGGACTATGTTTTCACCATGGATGTTGTCAAACAAGTACTTCCGCGAGGTTTAGTCTGGAGAGGCTGAGTCTTCCTGGGCAGCTAAATGACCATAGTTTGCAGTTATCTACAATCCCCATCCATTTTGTGTGTTCTCAGCAAAGGGAAAGATACATTCTTCCTGCCCTATCCTTTCCGCAGTCCAGAGAGTCACCACAGTAGACTGTATCCAGGTGCCACTGGTGGAGTGTCTCCCCTCCCTGTGCAGACCCGCAACAACAGAGGTAGAGAGGAGCTGATACAAGCTGGGTAACTGGCCCAGGGTCACCGAGGACAAGGTATCAGAGGTCATGCATCACCTGGTTCAGCTGCAAAGCCCCATGTTCCCTATCAAGGCATTGGTTGAACAGCCCCAATTTTATATAAAAAAAAAAAGCCCAAGCAGCTTCATCAGAACCCACATATGGTTCTGTTCAATTCTGAGGCACCCAAACCAGCTCTTTTAAACGTGTTGTTTTTCTCTCCCCATTATTACCATTAGCCTCTGTAACTGCAGGCACTATCTCAGTCAGTAGGGATTCAGCCCTCTAAGTCATGGGTCTGGTTCAGAAAAGTCCATGCTGGGATGCAGCATACTCAGACACAAACACATGTTCAAGGCCCAGTCCTTGGCCTCACCAGGGCACCAATACCAAGTCCTTGAAGAGCTAAGAAAAGCCTGGTAATAAACAGAAGCTCTTGTTACGCCCTGTAGAGTCAGCAGCAACTTTCTGTAAAAAGCATAAAAAATTAACATGAGGGTGCTGACAGTCTGGTGACACATGGTGACTAATTGCCAATAAAGCAATTAGGGAGAGGTCTGGTTCCCAGAGGATGAGGCTATTATTATCTTGTTCATGGTCAGCCTTCCATTAATCATGGGACAGGGATAGGCTGTGTCTTTCCCCGCTTCAAAATTAACTAAAACAAACATTTCTGAAAAGAAACAGTCCCAAAACAGCCACGTTCTCAGCCTGGTAAATATTTCTTCATACACAGGGGAGGACAATGTTATCTTCTGTATGGAAAATGCTTATCTGAACATGTAACCTGACCCATTTCTCTGGCTGAGCATGAAGAACAACTCCTGAAGAAGTTTGAACTCAGTCTCAGAAGCTTGGATGTGTGCTGCTGTAGCTCTACCCTTGTTCATCACCGTAGTTTCAAAGGGGTTTCAGACATTTCAGTGATCACTGTGTATTTCCAGAAGCAATAGAAGATTGTACAAGTAATTTTCAAGCCAGAAAACTGAACTTATCTAGAATCATCCCTAGTAATGCTCAGTCTGGCACTGTGCACCCCTGGTAGATTCGAGTCAGAGCTCCAAACCCACACAGGTTATTCCTATAAGAAGGGTGCATCCAAATATTGCAGCCCTTCACTAAAGGGAAAATGTTGACATTAAAAAAAAAAAAAAAGGCATGAAAACATCAAATTATTCCAGATGTCCTGTCCTGTGAATTTCTCAAGCAGAAGTACTGGCGCTCACAAATCCATTTCAGTCGCTCATGGAATATAAATCTGGCTGTAAATAGAGAGGATTCCCTAAAGTATTCCCACACGAACAGAAGGAAGACTGGAAGATTTAGAAAGCTAACAATTAACCCAAAGAGGAGAATATGGATATGATTATCCCTGCTGGAGAGAGGCTGCTTTTCCCTCTATACCCTGCAGAGTTCCATGGTGCTAGGTGCTGTACAAACATTTAATTTGGCCAGATCAATTTTCCAAACTGAGACTCATCATGACAAAGACAAACCTCAATTTTTATCTGCTGCAGTGATCAAAAGGGTGTTTCTGTTTAACTAACCTGACATGATTTACTTTTGTGTATAAGATCTTGCCATATGTGTATATTGAAAATCTTCAACTAGTACAAATAAATCGGCTCCAAGCTCTGCCCTTAAGGGACGAATAACTCCAATATTCTGAGCAAGTTATTAGAGTTAACAGTCAACATTTAGTGTGGACGCACATCCATTCATATGAGTGTCCTGGAAAATATCTATGCTAAATACTGGGCCTATTTTTAAATAAATGCAAAACAGATTTCAGGAGAATTGAACAGTATTTCCATTATGAAAGACAAAAGCGCAAGGAATAAACTGGGGCAGGAATGCAATTAATAGTTTTTAAAGGTGCAGTGTGCTCATTGTGCAGCGATTTACTAATAGATTTACAGCAGTGAGCAGATTTTTATGAGCTTGGATATTTCAGGCAATGAATGATTCAGCTTGTACTGTTTTGTGTCACAGACAAATGAACACAAAACTGTTTTTATCTGTCATTTCTGCTTGTTCAATAATCAGTCAATGAACTCCTTTGATACAAAACCCACTTATCTTCCCCCCCTACAAAAACATTTCCTTTCTGAATCTTGATTGCTATGATCATTAAGAAGATGAATCTGAAATAATGTCAGCTGTAGCTCTCTTGGGAGAACCACATGATTAGGAAGGAATTGAATGAGGTGCTAGAAGAGGGTCATATTTTCCAGCATCCCTCCAGCAGAGCTAGGAGACAAGTGGCATTTCCGTCCCCAGAAAATGCCACTTTTCCCAGTATTTCCATTTCAGATCAGAGTGAGCTGGCCACAGCAGCTTTCCACAGAGGGAAGTTTTTAAATGCAATTCCAAGGAGATAAGAGAAATTTTGGAGGGAAAATTTCCAAGTGATTCAGACATCCAGTGCCAGAAACCAGGCAATCACAGTCTTGCAGGACACAGGCAGAAGAGCTGGACAAAGGCTCTGAGTGCCTGGCTTTGGGGAAGCCTCCAAGGCACTACCCAGCCCTGTCCAGCACAGCGGATCCACCGAACCAGAACAGCCCAATGTGAAGCTTTTGCTTGCTCTTCTTCCCCATGACTATACCTCCCAACTTTCCAAGGTGTTTCCTGGGACTGCTTCCAAACTGGCAGAAATTTAATGCATTGAATGTGCCCCTGATGGATTTGTGTGGTTGACAGCCACCTCTTTTTCTTTGATGTCCCTCAGCAGCAAGAGGGAGGGCCTTAATGCCAAATCATGGGACAACTCTTTTGGGTCCTGCGGAGCCCCACAGAGAGCACCACGGCATTCTGGGACATATTGTCTTCTCATCCTCTTCCTGTCTTATATAGCAGATCAAGAATCTTTTGCCACCATTTTACCAACAAATGCTATCCAGTTCAGTGGGAGAAGGTGGGCTGAGGGCATTTATTTCCCCAATCCTCTTCCCTTTTTTGGTAATCCTTTCTTGAAAAAAACCCACATCTCTGTAGAAGAAGGATTACTAGCCATGAAGGAATTATTTTGCACACCCTATCCCATTGCCACGTTTTCTGCATGAGAGATAGGCAACATCAACCCAAACCATCTCTCTGTTGGCTGACAACTCCATTTTAGCATTGGGATCAGATCAATGAGTGGTTAAAAGATGTGAGACTGGGGAACTGGAGCAAGGGCCCTCACTCATGGAGATTTAATAAGAAGTAAGCTATTTGGCAGATCTGGAAATGAGCTGGCAAAGGGAGCAAATACTGAGGTGGTAAACCTTTGTGAATTTTTTTTTTTTTTTGGTCAAAGTGAAGCCTGACTGTAAAACTGCCAAAGAATCTCAGGATACTGAGTGCCTGAGAGATCAAATACTAGGCAAAAATCAGTGTTGATGAATGCAAAGTAATGCTTTCCAGAAAGAAAAAGCAGCTACAGTTATATATTTCTCAACTGTGGGTTCTAAATTAGCTATCACCATCCAGGAAAGAAATGTTGGACTCACTGTGGATAGCTGTCTCAATTTGCTGTCTTCTTGCCTACCAGTGATCAAAAAAGACAAATAGAGATTTAAGACCTGTCAAGAACAGATAAACAACAAACAAGGAAACACCTTTAGCCACTGTATAAATCCATCTCATATCTCATAACTCAATGACAGCAGCCTGCCCTAGTTACTCCCTCTTGAAACTAGAAAAACTGCTGCAAAGGGCGGCAAGGATGCTTTAATGAAAAAAGTAACCCTTTGTGAAGAGAGATGAAAAAACCTTGGACTTCCAGTTTACAGAAAAGACTAATGAGAGGAAAATCTGGTAAAGGTCTCTAATGAGTGGCAAAGAAAACATGAACAGGGATGGATGATTAAATTACAATATGGAAGTAATGAAGCACCCAGTTCAGTTGTCAGGAAGCAGGTTTACACCAGCAAAATGAACTGCTCTTTCACCAAAGGCACACATGCCTCGTGGCACACAGGATAGGAAAAGTACCAGAAATATGAAAAGGTATGTTTTTCCTTTAGATAGATGAAGGGAAGGCTTTGAGTGTGTATTAGCTACCTTGGGCTGGATTTATATTCTGTCTGGGTTAGTCAGCATGCTAGTGGGATGATAGAGCCATGGAAAGTTCATTTTATGCATGTACATGCTCATGTCTTGTGCAGCCTTTCCCTGATCATCCACTGCTGGTCATTAATGGAAGGTGGATGATAATTTCAATGACTATTTCTACATCCCAAAATACTGGGAGGTGGGTTACTTGCTTTGTCCTCTTGATCTCCTGCTTCAGAGCTGTGTGATATACTGGACGGTAGATCTCATTATGATGGTGCCAGAGTGTGGGAGTGGAGATGCTGTTTTGCCTGAAAATATGGCTAATACTTTAGTGGGGCCAGCTATCCCCAATAAATAGATATACTGATACCAGACAACATAGCAATTAACAATACAAATGCCACCCTGACTGTGGCGATATATATGTCCTCATCCTTCCACAGCTGGCTTGGCCACTGAGAAGACCGCTGTGGCTTCCAGAACCCCAGGTTGTTGTTCACATGCCATTAAGCATCTCTTTCATTGCAAATGTTTCACAGAGTCACAGAATGGTTGACAGGGTCTCCAAAAGCCCCTCTTGAAGTTGGGGACCCTTTAGGCTTCCACTGAACTCCACCATGAGGTGTTACATTCTGGAGAGTAAAAGTAGAAACGTACCCTGGACCAGACCTCCCACTGATGTTTAGCTCTGACAGTCACACAGACGGATGAAAGGCTACGGAGGTCCCTGCGGTCATCCTTCAAATTAGCAAGTGTCCCTGAAATTTTTCCTTTATAGGAAAACTCTCCACAAGCCTGGTCTTTCCACTGCACCACCCTTTGGGCTGATGATGAACCCTTTGGGCTCTGAACCAGCCTTGTCCCCTGGCGTATCTCACATGCTTTCACTTTGATTTCTATCCTGGGAAATGTCAGCATATTAAGGGAACCAGAACACATCACAGTCTATGTTTTTCTGTGTACTTTTAGGAAATGTAGCAACCAGTTGATAGCACGGCTGAAACTCATGTAATAATGTCACAAGCACCTCTCTCTACAGGGTGGAACTTCTTTCCCTGATGTTCTCAACTGATTGACAAACTAAGCATGTACTCTGAATGGCTAAATTAGCACTGTGCTGTTTTGTTTTACCTTTTCTGTAATTTACAGGACATAAAATTCTATTAAAAATTTGAAGTAAAACTCCAAGCAGCATTGTAATGCATTGAATTAAAGGTTAGAAAACAGGCACCAAACTTGCATGTGTACTGGCTGGACATACCTATACTTTTCTGTCCGTCTCCTCAATGACAGCTTGTCTCTTTTACAGGGAGGCAGCTAGCTTCAAAGTACCTACTGAAAGCCAAGAAGCTCACCAGCCAATATTCTTTCTGCAGGAAACCTGTGAATACATTTCACAACACAAGCACAGATCCCTCCTTAGTTTCCTTTGGTGTATAAACTGTTAAAGGAAGCAGTTTAACAGCAGCAAATATACCAGCTGCATGTGTCTTGAGGCGCAGATGGCAGACAAACAAATAGACATATTGGTATCACTGTACAACACGATTTGCTTACCAGATTGAGGACTGTCAAATATTTCCACTGCCCACCGTAAAGGAACACTTCAGATGGCTGCTCTTCTGTTCTGATGTATACGATGGAATAGGCTACAAAAAAGTACCAGACGAAAGCAAGGCAATGGTATGTGGCGAGAGTAGAGATTTCCATGCTTTAGCTGAGATAATTGGTCCACAAGCAGCTTTTCTCTTAAGGTCCTCGGTTGCTGTGCATGGGATATGGCAGGGCAGGAAGTTTTACTTCAGAGCAGACTCGGGACACGATGCCACTTTACTCTTGTCAAACGGAAAAATCATAAGGCCGTGAACTTTGCTTCTGTTTGTTTCCCTTTTCACTGTACAGATAGGCTGCAGGGGGGGGGCAGGGGATGAGAAGAATAGGCTTATTCCCCGGATTTAAATGCCTTGCTCAAGATTAACAAAGATTAGTTGCAGAGTTATGTAAGTTTTGGGTTGGTTTATTTTTTTGCAAAAGTGGGGGGAGTTTTGCTGCTGATTTTGTGTAACAGGCTGTCATATGTTGGGTAGTAAGTGAAAACAAGTGGCATTTTCACTCGTAGCTGTGGTGCAGCCATGACTCCAGCTCAGCTTGGGAAGCCTCTGTGACTATTTTTTCCTTGTGCCAAATGAAGAAGTGGGAAACGTAATGGTCTATGAAAGGAAAACCTAGTTGATTTGTTGATAGGCTATGGAGGTGGCAAGGAAGCTGATATGATTCCTAGGCAAAGGTCCTTGGGGTTGAAAACCACTGTGAGTGTTAACATTTTGTTGTGGGAAAAGGCTCTGCTGCCTTTACAGGGCTCCCCACTGCTGGGATTCATCACAGCCATACCTGGCAGGCTGGACAAACCCAAAGCTACTTTGAAGCTTTGACAGGGATGGAAACACAGGGCAAAGGCCTTAGATTGCAAACATGAAGTGCTGAGCAGCATGCCTTACCCCCCTGCTTCTTTACTTGCTGCCATTTACCTTCAGACATCCCATCTTCCCTAGCACAACGTTATGTCACCATTGGGGCTGGGCTGAAGAAGAGAAGAACCAACACACAGTGACCCTAAAATGAAGCAAATAAAAAAAATCCCCTGGAAATGCTCGTGTTTCCCACCCCACCTACCTCACCAAGCAGCCCTAATTAGCCCTGGAAAATACACACAGCATTTCCCAGAGTTCCCATAATTGCTGTGTTGTCAGCAGTAATTGCCACCTGAGTGTTTCATGTGGGCCTTGACAGGGAGTGGGTATCATGTCCCAGTCCACAGCTGGCCCTTCTCCATGCAGGATGGGAAGATGGGATGCTCTTCCCATCCCTGCAGAGGTTGCCCCAAGGTGAAGGGCTGGGTTTCAGCCAAGCATTAAAGGATCTCGTTTTTTCCCCTTCTAACTGGCCTACAGGCAGCATTGAGCAATCTGCTATGTTTTGGTTTGGTTTGTTTTTTCTCTGTTTTTTTTTCCCCTTGTACTGGACGTAATGCTCCACATGGGATAATTTCCTATAAACTCAGAGAGCAATGTGCATGAATGTTGGGAAACAGACCTCGCACTAAGACACTTCAATATTCTCCCGTGTTTCATTGACTTTTCCCCTAATTCAGATTGCCTGCATCCAGATTCCCCAGGCATTCCAGCCATCACAATCCCCATGAAATATTACTGCTCCACTTAGGAAAAATAGATGTAGAGCCTTTTGTGGTTATTTGAGACTAGAGGAGAAAACCCCTTGCCAGAAAAAAAAAAAAAAAGGGAAAAAAGATGGGATTATGTTTTTTTGTACTTGGACAGTGTCAGCAGTCTTTTCATAGAATCCTAGAATCCTAGAATGGTTTGGGTTGGACAGGACCTTACAGATCATCTGGTTGCAACCCCCCTGTCATGGGCAGGGTCACTTTCCACCAGACCAGGCTGCTCAAAGCCCCATCCAACCTGGCCTTGAACACTTCTAGGGATGAGTGACCCATAGCTTGTCTGATCAACCTGTTCTAGTGCCTCATCACCCTCACAGTGAAGAATTTCTTTCTAATATCTAATCTAAACTCACCCTCTGACAGTTTAAAGCCATTACCCCCTATCCTGTCACTACATGCCTTTGTAAAAAGACCCTCTCCAGCTTTCTTGCAGGCCCTCTTTAGGTACTGGAAGGCTGCTCTAAGGTGTCCCCAGGGCACTCTCTTCTCCAGGCTGAACAACCTCAACTCTCTCAGCCAGTCTTATAAGAGAGGTGCTGCAGCCCTCTGATTATCTTCATGGACCTTCTCTGGACTTGCTACAACAAGTCCATGTCCTTCTTATGTTGGTGGCCCCAGAGCTGGAGGTGGTGTCTCACAAGGGCAGAACAGAGGGGCAGAATTACCTCCCTCAGACTGCTGGCCACTCTGCTTTTGATGCAGCCTCAGAAACGACTTGCTTTCTGGGCTGTGAATGCAGATTGCTGGGTCATGCTGAATTTCTCATCAAGACCCCCCAGGTCCTTCCCCTAAGGGCTGCTCTCCATCCATTCTCCCCCAGCCTGTATCTGTGCTTGGGATTGCCCTGATCCAGGTGCAGGACCTTATGTTTGCCTTGTTGAACTGCATGAGATTTGCCCAGGCCTATCTCTCAAGCCTGTCCAGGTCTTTCTGGATGGCATCCCTTCCCTCCAGGATGTTGACTGCACCACACAGCTCAGTCAGATCAGCAAAATTCTGGGGGTGCACTCAGTTCCACAGTCCATGTCACCAACAAAGATGTTAAACAGCACTGGTCCCAGTACAGACCCCTGAGGAGCACTACTTGTCACTGCATTCCACTTGGACATTGAGCTGTTAACCACAACTCTTTCAGTGCAACCATCCAGCCAATTCCTTATCCACTGAGTGGTACATCTGTCAAATCCATATCTCTCTGGTTTAGAGACAAGGATATCATGTGGGACAGTGTCAATGCTTTGCTCATGTCCTAGAAAATCTAGCAGAAATATTTCTGGGGAGGGGCAGTGCTTTATGAGCTGCTCCACCTTGTCAAGACTCATGGCTTGACAAAAGGCAGGAAGAGAACAGGACTGTGGCATCGAAGGGCCCTTTTTATTAGTAGTTTGCATACCAAAGGCACCAGGCAGTCAGCACCTTTAGCAAGTTATCTTCACACTAGTCTTTCTGAGGTTTTGCTGTAGTACAACTTTAAAAATGGAAGGCTGAGCATTCTGTTCAGTAGGTGCTTGGATGCATGCAAATGAATGTAAATGTATGCAAAATGGCAAGGTATGTTTTTAATTTCCGGAGCATCTTGGCCAGTGTGGCTGGGAAGGTGTCAAGTGCGGTGACAGTTTTCTGATGTGGACATCTGTCCCTCAGACTGAGACCATCTGCTTTCTTTTCCCATATGCAGGAAGGAAGATACATACCCTTCAGCCTAGATACAGGATGAAGTTTGGATGCAGAAACATCGCAAATAGGATCCGAAATCTAACACTCCACACTTCATGGAGTCTTTCTTATTTCACAGCCAGTGTGATGTAGCAAGCAAATACACTGTACAGGTCGTATTTTATGCCATGTCTCCATGGGTATGAAGGTTCAATGAAATAGAAAATTCAGCCCAAATCTTTGTGCAGTGAGAGGAGAAAAGGAAGAAGGAGCACACTGGGGCACAGGCAGATGTGCTGCTGCAGGTCTAGTGGTATGGTTTAGGGAAACACTATTTTCTATCTTCTTGGTACCACAGCCCAGCTCACATCTGCTTCTCCCCTGGAGATGAGCCACATTCACACGCTCTGCCAATGCTCCTAGTCTGCTTCAGGGTCGCATCTGATTTGAGCAGCGATAGCTGACTTTGTGATGAAGTAAAGTGGGAGCTCCCCGTTAATCCATTAACTATGGTTCAGCTGAAGGATCGTAACAAGTAACTGGGGCTTTAAATCACCTTGCTTCCACTAAAGCTCCTCCGCTTATGCCCTGTTCTATGGGACTGACTTAGGCCATCTTGCTTGACTTTGCACCAAAATGGGTTTGACTCACTCATATTATTAGTATGGTTCAGGTACAGACATGACAGCAAGCAGTGTAAAATGGTAATATCTTAGGTGATTGCATGTCTTCACTAGTGGGCATGGTATTTCCAGGCTATCAAGAAGTCCCCAGTGAAATCCATCATTACCATGTAGCGTTTAATAAACCACCTCAGTCTGTCACTACTGAAGCAGCTTGTAGAAATAAATATTCTTGTCTCCTCGAAGCTGACAATTCATTTAGAGAAAGGCACTAGTTCGGTGCCTTTCAAATATTGTCCAGTATTTTTGGCCTGGCAAGATTTCCTCTCTGCCAGAGTAGCATCCAGTGATGGCAAAATAAGCAAGAGCAAGGCAGGAAATTATTGGCAGGTGATAGCAGTTAAGGCCAGGTGGAAGGAAGGGATTTAAAACCAAGCAAAAACTTGGGAAAGGTTTGGGGACCTAAAAAGAAAACTGGGTTTTTGTACTTAGCTGTCTTTCCTAGGCACCATCTGAGAATAAGGGACTGATACAGAATAGGATCTTGCCTCCCTCAGAAAAATTTTATAGGGTGAAAAAACTAAAAGTAGCCAAGTATGTTTTTCTTCCAGTTTTCTGATGCTTGTGTCCTTGATGCAGTTCTGATATCTCACATGTGGATGTCCTAATTTAGTTATTTTTAATTTACTGCTATTGTAAGCTGGCTTACATTAAAAGTACCATCCCTTGAAAGAGGGGTCCAGGGCTGCTCTTGTACAGCATCTTCTGTACACTACATGAGTGTGTCCAGAGACTCTGCCTCTGCTGCAATCTGGATTAGTTGCAGGTAGTGCAGGGGTCTGGGTGGAAGATGCATTTTCTGATAAGCATTATCTGAGAAAGCTTTTTAGCACACAGTGTGAGGCTGCCTGAGTTCTATGTCTCTAGGGATATCTATAATAACAATGTGTTCTATGACAGTCTTGATGTATAAAATGAAACATAATTGGCAAAATTACAAGCTTGGCATAGTCTGCTCCAGGCATCCTCAAATCCTGAGACAAACTCCCCCAAATCATGTGGTTAGTGTAATTCACGAGACTTAATTCTCCTTGGTTTTATTTGTCTTGGGCTTTAGTAGCTTCTATCTGATTTTTGGAACTTTTCTTTGCAGCTGTGTGAGTGACAAATGTAAAAACGCTTTAACTGCT